CCAACTCTATATCACTCAAACTTTGTTCAATTCGTTATTTAATATTCGGTGGATGATATTCTAGATTTATTTTTTCTGTTGCCCAGAATAAAAATTCTGATTCGCAGCAGTATATTTTCAGGTAGGCAATCTACCTGCGGTAGATCGCGGACCTAGTGCTGTTTGTACGTAAATGTATGATTTAGGTAACTCTAATAATGTATCAAAGTTATACCAAGTTTGACATAATACGGTGGATTAATATAATAAATTAATACATAATACTAACCTAACCTTAACGTACTAAAATCCGATGAATAAAAAATACCAAATTTTACCCTTTTTAAATTAGCCTATCTTCTTCCCACAGATCTGCACACAAACATTCATTTATATACCGTGTGTTCAGTTTTAAAGGTAGGTAACAGGAAATATTTCGAACGCATGATCTTGAATTTGATTCGGGTTTTTTTTACAGGGTACAGGACATATAAATACACATGTTTCTGATAAATTCTAATTTTTAACTTTTTTTATCTACGCATGCGCAATAAATTAAAAATTTCTTAAATGGGAACCACTATTTTTAACACTGGATTTGGATTGCTCTATTTTTTCTGAGCAACTTTGATCTTTACAGTTTTTTGATATCTTCAAAATTAACATTCAAAGTTACAAATTAGGTAATTCGTATTTATTGAATATTTCAACGCTCTATCTTAATCAAGCATTTATAAATATTATTATAACAATTTATGTGTCTCTTTGGGAAAAGCACATTCAATTTTCAAAAAACATAAATTATACGCATATCGACCTAACTTAATACAACATTTGTTACCGGGTGATTCCGAAAGAAAACTCACATTTATAGCATGGTACAAATTCAAGAAGAACCATTATTTTTAAAATATGTTTGTTCGACTGATGAATCAAAATTCATTAATAATGGTGTTATCAACAAACAAATTTGCCAATTTAATTTTTATTTAAATTATTATGTTACGTTATATTAAAAATACTACCTACATGTTGATTACGACAAAAAATGATTTTTTTTTTTTTTATTCATTTCTAGTTACAAGACAAATACGTGATATAACAAAGATAGATATTAACTAGGCATTACTCTACACTGAGGTGAAACCTCGTGTCGTAGAGTAAGAGTACATTTTTTTTTTTTGTTTTTTTTTTTTTAATTAGTAGCCGTGATAATAATGAAAGATAGTAAGAGCCTTATATAAAACAAATAATAATAATTAATACAATAGTAAAAAAGAAAATTTAATGCTAGATATTTAAAGATTATTGTAAAACCAATTTTTTAATTTATATTTAAAATATGAATAATTTGAAATAATTAATAATTCTTTAGGAATCTCATTTAAAGACCGTAATCCAATTTGTAAGAATGACAATGAAGCTTTTTTAGTAACAATGAAAGGTATTTCAAGATTTGTTTTTCTGAAGTTGTATGTTAGATTTTTAATATTAAATAAATTATTTTTGAAAATTTAAAGCTATTACTTTAAAGTAATATATTACTATAGGTCAATATTTATATTTCAAAATGGTTTTGAAATTTTTTTAATATCCCTATTCTATGTATACCAAATTTCGTTTTATGCTCCTTCTGTAAAATTTGAAAAAGTGGACTTATCTGGTTGTTATACTGAACCCTTCAATTGGTCACTTCTGCTATAACAATGATTTACAAAACTGACGAAATTTGGTATTACTGCTCATACAGTACTTTTTTTAATGGTATTTTACGAAACTAGAAATTAGTCTGACCCATTACGTATACTCATATATTTGGTACGTAATAATAATAATAATAATAATATTTCAAATATGACATGTTCTTTTTTTATACTTTCTGATGGAATTTTTGTTGTTATGTTGATATGGATGTTGTTTGTTTTGTAAATAATATGATATATTGATACCTATAAAAATAAAATACGAAAAAAAAAACATAATTTCAATGTAAAGTCTGTGTTAAACCACTTTGTCCTAGGAAATGTTTTGAAGAATGGCATAATTATAATCAATAAGAAATAAATATTTGTTTAATTCATTTATGATATTAGTATTTATTTATTTAATTTATATTTACTAATATTATGTTTTAAATTAATTTGTACCTATCTTAAATCAAGTTGAAATCATGGAATATAATTTTTTTAGATTCTGAACGAAGTGAAGATTGTATTGATTTTACTATGTGTGTTTTTTTTTTGTGTCAGTGTACATCATAACTAGTCAAAATAATGCTTCAATTTTGAACTTCATGGTATGTTGTCGGTAGAAAATCAGATATTGGAGGTACTTTGGAGAGGTGAAAAGTAAAAATTCCCAAAAGTTTTCAAATGCGGCGGGAAAAACAACAAAAAAATGAGGAAAAAACTTTTTTTTTTTTTGTACAAAACCGATTTTTGACAAAATCGATTTTTTTATTTAGCTGTTACTCAAAAACCAAACTTTTTAGATACTTGAAATTTTCACCAAATGTTGATATTGGCATCACCTATACGTGGTCCAATTTTTTAAAAGTTTTGATTTTTATGATATTAAAATAAAATATATTACAATTTAAGGCTGACAAATCATCTTCGTTCAGAATTGTTTTTTTTTATAATATAAAATAACCCCAAAATTTAACCTATAATGCCTAATCTATCAATTCATCTAGTCTATCCTTAAGGTGACCATATATTTTACTAGTAAAAACGTGACAAAAAGAAATATATTTTCTTAATTTTGATTATAAACAATTTTTTTATTTAATAGTCATTAATAAAATTAAGTACTATCAATGTTTTAAGGAACAAAACAAATTACTAATACAAAACACTTATTGATAAGTATATATAAACAATTTTTGTCATATATATATATATATATATATTTATATGTAAACCATCTACGTAAAGAATACTGTCAACGATTACTATACCACTGAAATAATGAATTATGAAAAATTAATTTGTGTTTGTGCTGATATCTTATTACTAATAAATTCACGCTTAAGTTAGTATTGATAACTAGTAGTTATAATTGATAAGCAGTAGTTAGGTTTTTATATTATATGGAGATATCTAAATGGGAATTTTTGTAATTTAACGTTAGCCACATTGGTTAGGCTTATTAATTTTTTTTTATTATTATTATAATACGGGAAATTAAATTTTCTAAGGTTGGCGTAACCGATCTCCCGAAATTTGATTTTAGTGATATCTCGTGTTATCAAAATCGGGAAAACTGTACCAGCCCCATTCCTTCACCACGCTCGCCGCCGCCGGATTGGTCACACTGCCTTATCCCAACACGACCGTCCGACGCGACGCGGCCGTTTACGCGCGCCGAACTTTTCCTTCTCGTTCGACCGTTCGTCTGAACAACACGTACGCGACGCTCACGACCGACTTTTCGTCCCGACTCGCGTTACGCACGTGTTAACTCCGACTTCGACATTTTACTCTCTCGAGTTTCGCTTTATTATTATTATTATTATTAATTTGTTATAACTTTGTTTGCTCAATATATATATAAACTTTGTCGTCGTACAAAAAACGTGGTTTTATTTTTATTATTATTGCCATTATATATATTGACATCATATTCATTTCGTTTTGTGCGGTACGCGGTTTGTATCGGTAAACTTATCTACCTACATCCGCCCTGCCGCCAAAATGAAATAGATACTATTATCTCTTGACTATCTACAGAAAAAAAAATTTATTTACCGTGCTCACTTTATAACAAAATAAAAATTAATTTATGGTGTTCATTATGCGTATTTTTGTTGCCTATACTGCATGTGACATTTAATCACGTTTTTGTTTTTATCACATCGGAGTCATTAAATTTTGACTAAAGCTGTGTTAGCCGCCAAAATACTTTATTATGATTTATCACAATATAACAATAATAATTATTATTTATTTTATTACAATATTATGATTAATTCGACTTTCGACTGTGTTCCATAATATTATAATATTCAATGTATTTGTACTCGAATTTATAATAAAAATTGTTATTAGTTATATTGTTATCGTTAGTTTTAAAATATGTCTGCAAATCTTTCCCAATAGCAAATATCTGAGTTAATTACAAATGTTGAATCGGCCGACGAAGAAAGTGATTGGTTTTCGGATGGTGATACATCGAATTCTGAATTGGAGAGTGATAGTTTTATGAAAATAATCAGAGAAAAATTAGCCTCTAAATTATGCAGTACTCCAGTAAATACTATTGATTCAAACACTCTTTTTAGTCAGGTTAGCACCTCTAAAAAATAATCAGAACCAATTTCAAGTATTCAAAATAATACTTCTAATGATAACCCACATTATTTTACAACTGAAATTCCAATTAGTTCTGATTTAGATCCTATAGATATTGATAATTTGCCTATATTTTTTAATGACAATGGTCATATTCAACCACTGTTGTCAACTGATAGGAATGATATTGACAATCATCAAAATATTTCAAATATTTTTAATGGTCCTATGGATGTTGATGAAAATTTAAAAATTATAAGTTGCAATAATAGTAAAAATACACCTATAAGAAATAGAAATAAAATCACTAAAAAAAAATGTAAATAAAAACACACCAAAACAAGTTTTTTCTGGTAAGTGGAACTTTGATGAAAATGTATGTTCTGAATATATTCCAAAACAAATTATATTTAATGATTCCTTTGGTGTAAATTCAGATGTTCTTGATGATTTATTACCTGAGTTTCGTGAGATGGATATTTTTAAAATCATTTTTGATGAACACTTAGTCCAGCATATTGTTGATGAAACAAACAAATTTTTTCATTATGTGATGAAAAATTTAATTACAAAACAACACTCCAAACTAAACAAATGGCAGGAAACCAATGTAAATGAAATGTATACTTTTTTTGCATTAACCTTTTTGATGGCACACCAAAAAAAAATAACAAAAAGGATTATTGGTCTACATCACCATTGCTATGTACTCCTATATTTGGTAAAATAATGACCCAAGATAGGCATCTTATACTACTTAGATTGTTACATTTTTGTGATAACAAAAATCAGATTCTAGGTAATAGACTTTTTAAAATTGAAACTGTTGTCGAATCTCTTCGAATGAAATTTCGTTCAGTTTTTCGACCATACCAGAAGATATGTGTTGATGAGAGTATAGTTGAGTGGAAAGGGAAGCTTAAGTTCAAACAATATATTCCTTCTAAGAGGAATCGTTTTGGAATCAAATTATTTGTCCTTTGTGATAGCAAAACAGGATTTGTTTTAGATTTTTTAGTTTATACAGGTAATGATCAACATATAAATTTTAATGAATCTTTGCAACAGTCAGGTTCAGTTATATCAACTTTAATGGAACCATATTTAAATAAAGGTCACATAATTTATATGGACAATTGGTATTCTTCTCCATTATTATACCAATATTTGTTAGAAAATAACACTGGTGCCTGTGGTACAGTTAGGAATAAAAGAATAGGTATGCCCACTTTCCCAACAAAATTAGCTTCTGGTCAATGTGTATCAGCTACAACAAAAAACATGATGACTTGTAAATGGAAGGATAAAAGAGATGTTCATATGTTATCAACTGTACACAAACCAAAAATGACTGTAACAAATAAAACTGACAGGTTAGGAAATAATATTAAAAAACCACAATGTATATTAGATTACAATGCAAACATGGGCTTAATTGATAAATCTGATATGCAGATGTCATTTAACAATACGTGCAGAAAGTCTATGAAATGGTATAAAAAGTTTTTTTTCCATTTACTTGATCTATCTGTCCTCAATTCTGGTATTCTGTATAATTCTCTGAAGGAAACTAAATTAAAAATACCTGAATATCGATTGAAATTAATTCAACAGTTACTTCAGACACATAGTTTTTCTGATATGAATACAAGTCCTAGTCGTCCAGGAAGAAAAATTAAAGGAGATTTTCCAACTCGTCTCACAGATCACATAATTACTTAAGCAATTTTTGATATTTTTATTAAAACAATTCTCTCTCTGAGTTATCCACGCAATATTTAATACACTCTTCAAAGGGTTAATATTCATCAGTTATTATTTATTGAAACTCATGAAAATATTTCATATCTAATAAAAAGACTGCGAACATATGTAACCAAAATTTGATAGCATCACCATAAAATATATATTGGTATCACACATTTTCAAAGTACACGGTCTGGTAAAATACACGTCACGGTGTAGTGTGAACCCGGCTTAAGCCGGAATATAATATGTATAGCAATAAAAGTCATTGTCGGAAGTCGATACACAATCATTTATCACCGTCGAACGGTATCAAGTTTATCATTTATAACTTCTGGTTTTTATAGGCGATAAGTATTGCTGCGGTCTGAGTTACTAAATAACAAATTTAAATACAAATATCTTCCGAAATCACATAACTTTGAGGAGCTCTATCTCGTCAATGAATTAATGATAAATGGAAATTTAACCGTAATAATTCATAAGAAAAAAAGCCTTACTAAATTATGAAATTTTTAATATGGGTTGCCATTTGAAAAACAAAAGTTTATGGTGGTTTACCTAATAAATATAAGGGTGAAAAATATTAAACAAATATATAATTCAAGAACAGCATAGATCCAAAATGTTGAAAAAAAAAAAAATTTGAAAAAAGTTAATAGTTTTTGAGATAATGAGTGAATTACGCTTGGTGAATCACTCTGTATACATAAGGGCCACCCTAGTGTACATTAAGATCGTGACATCGAAGCATCACCACCACCATGTTGGGCACTCCATTAATGGTGATTGACGTTGGGCCAACTACCCAACTCGTAATACCAAATAACAAAATATAACAAATGAACTAACGAAAAAACGTAAACCAAGAACCATGATAATGAAGGATAGCAATAACGTACTGATCACAGAAGAAAAAAAGATTGCGGAAGAACTCGGAGAGGCATTTAAACAGTTACTGGGAAAAACAGTGGATACAACCGAAGAGAGTATAATATACCTAACTGCAGAACCAGAGGATAAAATACCAAGTAAAGAAGAAATAGAAGTGATCATTAAAATGCTTAAAAATAATAAGACACCAGAAGACTCGATCATAGCTGAACTCCTAAAAAACAGTGGACAAAATCTAATGCAGGAAATATGGGACCTATTAGAAGAAATATGGAAAACTGAAAGGATTCCACCGGAATGGAACCTATCTGTTCTCCGTCGAATCCGCTCCTGCGTGTCTGCAGTTGGCGGCAACGACTCACGTCGGGTTGGGAAAGGGTGACTTTGGCGTAGTGACAAATAATAAAAAAATAATACGGTTTTTTTGGTATATGACGAATAGCACCGTCTTACTATTAAGAGGGCGTCGCACCGTCATTTTTCGGTATTAAAAACACGCTTGCGTAGATTCAAAATTACTTGTTCCTGAGTGGTTTTAGAGCTAAGACACCTATTATAAAAATAGAATAAAACAATATTTTGGAGGGCATCTCATCGGGGTTTTATAAAATATTTAGTTTAAAAAAAGATACAGTCGTTTAAAAAATTAAAAATAAACGTTTTTTATAAATGTAATATCAAACAGTGTAATTAACATAATGAAAATGCCCCATGAGATGCCCTCGTAAATATTGTAAGCTTTCATTTCGGTAATAGGTGTTTTTGTTCTAAATCCATTGTAGAGTGGTTGATTTAAAATCTAAGTGTGCCGTAAACGTTCCAAGTTTATGCCGTAAACGGACAATTTACGGCCGACTAGTGCTGCTTTGTTTCTATTACGGCAGCATTCGATAACGTTCGTTACCCCCGACCCGCAAAAACTACCGCCTCCAAGTTTATAATTGGTTTTTGAGAAGTACTCACCGCCAGAGCGACAAAGTATAAATAATATTGCAATTATAGATAAAGGCAACATAGCAATAATAATAATTATTTTTAATATTTTACTACGAAACCATTGTAGATATAATAATATTATTGATTATTTGTGGGTATATTGACATATTGTATACTATAAAATGTATAGTATATTATTGAATTATAAGTTATAAACTTATAACAAATTATTTGCTCGTGGACCGTGGTCATTGAAGACACGTGAACTTGTATTCACGACTTAATTTGTTAATTTGTACACGAAATATTTTATTTTACCGACTACCTATCTATTATTTTGTAATAACGAAATATTAGCATGGGGAACAAAAAAAATTATGTTAAACGTGTTACCAAAAAACGTTTAACTCGTATTCTGGTAAATCGTCGTAAAAATAATGACAATGAAAGGTAAGTTCAATATTTTAAAATTTTGAAATGAAATTCTGATATAGTATTATAATTTATAAATTATAGTAGGTACTATTTATTTTAGTTAAAGTTTCAAAACGAAAACATATTTTTGTTATTTGTAAAGAGACAACTAGGTAGCAGTTTATTTAAATTTTTATTAATATTATGGTGGTGTTGCTACAGTGATTTTTGCATTAATTCACCACAATTAGCGAGTTGTGTAGAATTTACAGCTGCAGAGACAAGTACACCAAAATTGAAATTGCAAGTACAAAACCAATTTGATGAAGCCGAATTAGCTGTTAAACTTACGGCAGCTGAAATAAATTCACCTTTCGAGTAAAATTTATATTAAATCATATTGTAGTTTTTTTTATGTATTTTAAATGAATTGTAGTGTAGACAATATTTTCATTATGTATAGATGTGCTAAAATCCAGGACGAATTTATAGACTCTCACGAACTGACTGTCAGTTCAGTCTTAGAGGTAGAAAAAAGCCTCATGTAAGAATTTTGTTACCATCCGTAATGTTTTATGAATTAAAATTAAAATTAATCGCCTATATATTTATCTAGTGAAAGAACAGGTGAAATAAATGGGTGTAGGATTGTAGACATCGGATATGTTTTTAGTCAAATACTTGATTGTACTCACGAAGGAATGTTTGGATGTAATTTTATGAACATGGAATATATATCGGAATTTAGGAGAGGTTACTATTCACAATTTTTATTCAAATGTAAAATGTGCAATATTCAAAAAAAAATATATTCTTCAAAATTTGATGAAAATCTTCAAAATCAATGGTCAATAAATAAAACTATTGTAAATAGCACTATTGCAATTGGTAATTAAAATGTTGATTTAAATGTAATGCTTTGCGATTTTGTTTTAATTAAATAGTAATTTATTGTAGGAATTGGCTATACCCAACTAGCCGAATTTTCTGCTGGTTTAGAAATACCATACATGTCTGCAAAAATGTACCATTCATTTCAGTCAGTTCTCCAAGATGATATAAAAGGCACGGCTTGGTCAGAAATGAAAGCGGCAGGAGATGAAGAAAGAAAATATGGTATAGAATCTGGTTCCGTTGATAATAATGGTATACCACTTATTACAATTGTTGCGGACGCTCAGTGGTCCAAGAGGAGCTATAAAACAAAATACGATGCTTTTTCCGGAGTAGTAAGTATTTTAAACAATTTAAAAACGTACAAATTCAAATAACTATTAATTAAATTAATAGAAAAATCTATAACTAATCTTAATTAATTTTTACGTGACTTTAGGCAAGTATAATTGGATACAAAACAAAAAAAATACTTTTTGTCGGAATCAAAAATCGATATTGCGTAATTTGTTAGCGTGCTTCTTAATAAAAATATTGAAAAACCGATACACACATGCTTCCTGAATTGGAAACACGGTGCTACAAGTATTGAAGCGGACGGAGTAGCCGAAGGTTTTACCAAGAGTTTCGAAATGCATGGCGTTAAATATTCAAAATTAATTGGTAAAATACTTTTACGTTTATTACATAAAAAAAAAATGTATGTAATGGACATTTTATGCTTATAAACAAAATTTGACTCATCATTTTTTATTTTTTTTTTTATTGCGATAAAAACGACTCTGTTGTACAGTAGGTTACAAGTAGGTCACTAATGGGGGGTGGTATTAAATTTGAATCCAATGATATAATATCATTGTATAAGAAAAACGATTCTGAGTGGAGGCGGTATGTCAGTCTAGGTATATGAACCAAAAAAATTAACCTATACATTTTTTAGATTTTTCGGTTACAGTATGAATTATTTAAGAGGATCTTTGTTTTAAATTTTCAACCCTTAGTTATAAAAACCGAACATTTTATAATTTTTTAATTACAATGATTGATAATTTTCGAGATTTTGATAAATTTTGTCAAAATTTGAAATTTAAATGCTTATTAAAAAAAATCGTGGCTGTGTATTTTCAATATTTTTCAAATACTATTCTATCAATATATCAGGAACCTTGTATTAAATTTTTAGACTTTTTGGACCACCAAATAAAATTGTATTGACACTTGTAAAAAAAAAAACTAAAAAAATTGAAAACTGAAAATGTCTGTAAACAGCTTAAAATAAGTCAAAATATTTTGAAAATGTTATGGAGTGTATAAACTGCTTATATAAACATTTAGTCAAAATTTCATGTATCTACAGTCATTTGTTTTAGAGTTACACCAAAAACTATAATCGATTTTGTTAAAAATCGGTGTTGCGTAAAAATTCCCGTTTTTTCCTTAATTTTTCATTGGTTTTTCACGAAAATTTTGAAAACTACTGAAAAATTTTTACTTATGAACATTCGTGTATTCGTAGTCACTTCGTTTAGAATCTAAAAACTTAAAAAAAATGTTTTAAGTGATGGTGACAGTAGTGTCACAAAAAGGCTAAATGAAATACTACCGTATGGTGCGAGCCTAAGAGTCGAAAAAATTGAATGCAGGAATCATATGCTTAGGAACTATTCCCAAAAAATGTCTGCACTCACTAAACGGACAGAATTTCCAATTGCGATCAGAAAAAAAATTGCTGATATCCTCGTTAGGCTTAGAACTGATATAACAAAAGCTATACAGTATAGAAAATCTGAGGAAAAACCATTACAACAGAAAATTTTAAGTAAGTACCTAATTTATGTTAATGTTTATTACATTTTATTCATTTATTTGGGGCTTTTTAGATCTTAAATACGACATAACCAACGCACCCAACCATCGACTTTTTGATTGCCATAAAAAATGTGCTCCTTATTTTTGTGAAAAATCTGTACATAACTCAGTTGATAACTGCAAGTCAAATGAAAATGAAAGTATAGCCAAAGAAATTAATATAATTGTTTCTCGTTTGGCTAATAATGCAAAGAGCCTTATATTGGACGTAGACAACAACGTCTGCGAACAATTTAATAGTGTTATTAATAAATTTCTTGGTGGCAAAAGAATAAATTATACTCAAAGGAGTTCTTATAATACAAGGATATTAGCAGCCGTGGTTAGTTTTAATTCTAGCGAGTATTTAAGAGCTGTAAAAAAACATATCACTCAAACAAGTCCTGGTGAGATAACATTTTTTTTTTGAAAATTACTATTATATAATTCATTATTATATACAAATATAAAATAACCTATTAATTAATTTTTTGTTAGGAAAAACAGCTAAATCATTTTTGAGTCAAATAATAAAAAAACGTTCTGCTTGCCAAAAACGAAGACAACTTTCGACCAAACTTAAATATAAAGTAAAGCGACCAAAAGCTAGTTCCAAACCAGACGAACACTATGGTAACGCAGACATATTAGACGGTATGTAATGATAAGCTCACATATTATTGTAAATTGTAATAAATAAACTTAATTATACCTAATTAATAACTGTCATATTTTTTACGTTATTAATATAGGTATAAGAGAAGTCGATGATCCATCGTTTGTAAAAGATATGGAACAGTTTCTGAAGTAGGTACTATACTACTATATAGGCACCTATTACATACAAACAATGATAAAAATACTGAATACCCAATACCTTGGCTAGCTATTATTCGTTTTATTCAATAATTTCGTTTCTAAAGGACTTTACATGACGTCAACCGCACCACAGTAGAAGAAACTACAAGATATCAAGCCGAAAGTGAAAACTGGAGGGCAGAAAGGATGATCCGACTCACCGCTAGTAACTTTGGTCGTGTATGCAAAATGCGTCACAATACTAGTTGCAAAAATATAGTGCATTCAATCTTATATCTAACATTCAATAGCAAGTTAGTTAAATGTTATACACTTAAAATACCGCACTATAACTAAAATGTGCATTATTAATATTAAGAATATTTTTATTAGGTACTATTTTTTTTTTTTTATTTAATAGATTCTATACTTTTTTATTCTATAGGTCTGTCCAGTATGGTAGGGATATGGAAGATGAGGCAAAAACAAAATTTAAAGAAAAGTTCGGTTACACAATAGAAAAATGTGGTCTTTTGATCGATACGCAAATTCCATATTTAGCTGCTAGTCCAGGTTTAACATGATTTGATTTTCCTACTATTTTCTCTAGTACATAATAAAATAATTAATTAATTAATATTACGATTTTTTTTTCAAAATTATTTTAGATGGAATTATTGGGGATACTGCTATTGTTGAAATTAAATGTCCTTATGCTGCAAAAGACACGGAAAATGAGATAGAGGCTGTATCCACTGGCAAGGTTGGCTTCCTACTAAAAAAATACCTTTCCTTATTTATTTTTTTAAAACCTAATTTATTTATTATAATATTAACACAGTTGAAGTATTGTTCCATCAAAGATAACAAATTGGTATTAAGTAAAAATCATATTTACTACTACCAAATTCAAGGACAACTGCATATTTCCCAAAAGGATCAATGCTTTTTTATTATATACACGACTAATTGGATGTCAGTCCAGATAATAAAATATGATGATGACTTTTGGAGTACACATATGGTCGATAAATTAAAAACGTAAACATTGTTAGAATATTAATATTGATTTAACTTTTGTTAAATCCAATATTTAGTTTTTAATAAAATATAGGAAGTATATCAATATTAAATTTTATACTTATAGGTTTTATCTAAACTGTTTGCTGCCAGAAATCGTGGATCCTGTTTATAAATATAGATTTATGAAATCAGACATAAGAGAGTCAAAAATAATTTTACAGCAAATGAAAATCTCAAAACAGCTATTTTAAAATAAAATTAGATTTATTATATTATTATCATTAATCATATTACTAAAAAAAAATATTTTACTCGTTTTTATTTGTATACGTTAGTTTTAGTCATTTGGAATATTGTAAGTACAAGTAAGTATGTATGTATGTATTATTATTATTATGTATATTATTTTTATTAATTATTATCATATTAAAAATCCATATTTAAAAAAGGAGCATAAAAGATGAAACACGTCAAATTAATATTAATTTGATTGCGCTGTATTCATTCAGGTACTCATTAAATTATATTTTAGGATAGGTATTATATTTGAATGAGTTATAATGCTTTAAGTACAAATTAAGTTATGTTATAATACAGTTTCTACAACCTATATATTGGAACATGAATTTAGGTAAGCAGTATCTTAAATTGTAATCGGTAGTTCATAGGTATTGAAAATATTACGGCGACATTTACGTATGAATTTACGTATGAATTTTATATTGATACGATTAATACTGGAAGAACATTCATAGACAAATAAACGGCGCTCCGGAACGAGCACTAGTCGCCGACGTCGTTACGAATTATAAAGTGGGCGCGACATAAACGCCGCGCGCTTGCGGATCGTGAACACACCTAACAGCGCGTCCTCTCGGTCGTTGCACGCGTAACACGTCCTCTTTTGGTGACACGTCCTCTTAAGAAATAATTATTCTAAATACACAAATATGGGAAACGGGCGCCCAGGGGTTATAATAATAATATTAATAATAATAATAATGATAATAATAATTATATACTACACAGGCCGCCGGACCGAGAGTGACTCGACTCCACACGACACAATTACATCTCGTACGGGAGACCTGTTTCAGGAGCGTCGCCATCGCACAGTGGGCCAGAATATGAAAATAGTTGGTCAAAACCCATAATAAAACTTATTATTAATAATTGATTTCTTTATGATATTTGATTATCTCCGAGTTTATAAATTATAAAATAAGTACCCGTTTCGCAATCAGCGCTCTGATTACATATATCCTCAACACATTTATGATTATTTTAGTCTATTCTCTTTTCATTTGATTCTACAGTTTGCCGTCTGTTATTTGTTGAGTATTTGGCTGTAAAAAGTTTAATTTAAACAATATATTTTATTTTTTTGTTTTCATCGATTCGTCGAAGGTTAGCACGTAAGTTTTATTCATCAAAATAATTTAGTGACTTTTTATTATTAAATACATAGGCTATAAAAATCTTCATTTCTGAATTATATACTAGTGCTCTTTATTTAATAGAGTTTGAATTTTAAGTCTGAGCAGCTCTTATCACTAAAACTTAATAAATTTATTTTAAATTTAATTATTTAAAAATCGGTAAAAATTGTTTTTGCCTTAAGTTGCCTATTTATAAGTTATACCCTTTTTAAGTCGTAGTCGATGTTTTGTAGGTATATCTGAATTATTATGGAAACTCGTAGCGATCTATTTGAATATATGCAAACAATTAAAGGTAACCCACACAACATATATATATTTAATTAACTTTTATTTAACATTTTATATTAAACATTTTATATTTAATCAACATTGTTTTTTCATTCATAAATATTTAATAAACATTGAAAGTTGATTTTTTGAACCCATTTCTAATATTTATCTGATGTTGACAATAAACTTTCTTTTAAATTTAAATTCCAATATTTAATAAATATAAAAATTAAATATTTAAAAATATAATAGGATTTGTTTAACCACTATATAAAATACTTGAAATGTTATTAATACTAAAAGTAGGATTAGGTAAGTTTTAGAATTAAAATAACATATTAATAGAAACACCTTTATTTATTAGAATCTATTATAATAAATAAAAATTATATTGAATATACAGCTTAATAAACATACAAACTTGTATAATAAAAACAAATTTTAAACATAACAAATTATATTTTTAGAGCAGGATTTGATAAAAAAAAAAAAAATAATAATACTTTTTAATTTTTTTTTTTTGTCTGAAAAATGAATGTATGTGTTAATTTCAGAAAATTAAAAATAAAATAAATGGCAATAATTGACAATTTTAGTCTGCAGCTGCAGCATTTATGCCAAATTTATCATTTTTTTTAATGTTAAATGGTGCTTGTGCTAAATGGTACTTGATTCTACTTTCCAATTCGTTTTGTGAAACATTCATAAATTTAGATTGACATTTTACAGCATATGTAAAATAATAATAAATAAACTATAATACATGTATTTAAATGCGAAGATATAGCATTCAATTAATAATCTTACCAAAAATAACAGGACAAATAATAAGATCACAAAATTTCTTTTTTCCTTTTTTCCCATTATAAGAAAATAGAGACAGTAAATTGTCAGTAAATAATTTCATCAGTATTCTTTTCATAGTACAATTAATATTATTACCGCCCAAATATGATAAATATTGAATCTATAAAAATGAAAGGAATACATGTTATAATATATATTAAATATTGTATAACTACTTTAAAAAATAGTTTAAAGTGAAAATAAGTTGATAACCACAATAATTTAATTAATTACTACAGTGAATTGATAATATTTCTTAAAATTTAAACCATATAATATATTATGTACCTAAAATGGGAGGGATATCAACAATAAGTTTCATGTTCTAGTATAAAGTTAAACCATTTGTAATTTAAATAATAATTTATAATTTTACAATAATATTTTAATTAAAAATAATGATATATTTTACCACTAAATACATACCAAACATTTTTTAAAATTAAAATTTGTTTTTATTCGATCTTCTATAATATTTAAATTATATAAGTCATCTATAGGAAAATTGCACTCTTCTAATTCATTAACATCATTTGTATCATCCTGTTTCTTAAAATTTCCATAATTTGATTCAATAGATTTCAATTTATTTAATATTTCATTTTGCTTTATTTCAATATGTTTTATATCAGTTTGTAAGTATATAATATTTCTCAATACGGCTTTTAGCATTTTTTGTGAACCTATAATAACAAATTAAAAGTTAGTTATTAGTTAT